AGCAGCAGCAGCAGCAGCAGCGCAGTCGCAGTAGCAGTAGCAGTAGCAGAAGCAGCGGTATGGGAGGATCTGGCTGTTGAAGAGGTGCTTGCTGACGAACTTGATTTCAGCACGCCCAGCTACAAGTCGCAGTCCTTCCCTCTGCGAAAAATCCATGCAAAGCTGGATGATATCCTAAGCTCTACAGTTCAGGGTTCAGGGTTTAGGTTTTAGGAACCCTAAACTCTAAACTGACTGCCCAATCTTGCAATCGCTCGACGGCACATCCATCTCAACACACTATCGCAGCTTCAACCATCTGGTTCTTGCAGGGTGATTCATCCCACCAGGATGTGTCCCCAAGACCCTAAACTGGGCTCTTCCTAAGGAGCTTGGCTTAAGTTACCATGATGGACTTATAGTAGCTAATGGGGTTTCCTTAAGTATTCTGGTCCTTTGCTCTAAACCCTTGCAGGAACCCCTTACAGGCATCCTATATAGTTTGGCAAACCCTACACACTTAACAAGAACCCTGCAAACCCTGAAGCCTCCATTGCCCTACATCTCCATCCAGCGCTGGGGATGCCTCCTCTGCAATCCCCGATAAATATGCTTTGGGGTTTAGGGATTGTTTGGGTCTGGGGTTGTGGGGTTTAGGCTTTTGGGATTTAGGGTTTCGGGTTTAGGGTTCTCGGGTACGTTGAAACATGATTAAGTTAGGAAGCCTACAGAAAAGTACTGGTGATATCTCAGGCTCCTAACTATCTTCAAACATATCACAACAACACTCAACACACAACCGTCCCAACCCTCCCTTTCCCCAAACCCTAAGCATGTGCCCAAGGGTTAAATTGGAGTCTGACCGATCACATAAACCCTAAACCCGACAACCAAGCCCTAAAATGAGAAGAAAAAGGGCGTTCCACGGGGCTCACACCCACTGGGCGCCGTGAGCTGCGCGGAGCCTTGGTTCTTTCTCGGGTTTTACGAAGGGGTGCTATCAGCTTCCTTCACGGGTTCTTTAAGAGGCTCTACAAGGCTTCTTTTGTGGCCATTTACCTGTTGAGGTCCTTGGATCTTTTGCGTTTTGAGAGCTCCCATTGCTTTGCAGTTCGACAGGGCGCGCGGCCTCGTGCAGTCATCAAGAACTGGTTTCGGAGAGCATGCGATGCTTCTTGTGATGCGGAGAGTCGGTTTGGAGTCTTCAGTTTTGGGTTTTCGGGCTTCTGGTCCGAGCAACGGTGCTGAGACGGTATGCGGACGGCCACGGGCCCATCTAGGCCACTCGGGCTTACATGCTGGGCATCGTTCGGGTATCGTTCTGTCAAAATTGGGGGGGACGTCGTCTAATTTCCAATACTTCCATCCCGGAAATTTTGGCGCCCTTACGAAACCTTAAACTCCCGAAAACATCTCTTGAACGCAACAAGAAGCCAAGGTCTTAATGGTAACTTTGCGGAATTGAGGGTATCGTCTTTAGGGTGCCCCTATCGTTTTACAGGTCACTGCTAGCACCGCCTGCTTAAAAACCTATGTGCGATAATTTGGCCCAGCTCACATTTTAAAAATATTCGCAATGCGAAAGCAGAATGGTCGAACAAATATCCCAATTCTCCGGGGATGGGTTCCTGTTCTGCTTCTGTGACCGTTTCGTCCTCCGGCCCTAAGCCCACCTATACAGCTTTCTCAGAGCAACTAAACCCTAAACCCAGACCTGAAAACGACAGCTTTCTGACCGAGTTGGGGTCCCCTCAGCGTTCGCTTTTTCCCGGCGCTCTTCACCGAGGTGGTCGGAGATCCGATCTTGCGGCTGCCTCGGCTGTGACGGGCTTGTTACAGTGCAAGGACACTCGGCCGTGCAAATCTTTGCTTAGGGTTTGGGAAAACATATTTTTCGAGTTTGGACATCCTGTTTTATCCTTACTTCCTCGAAAACCTGGTTTTGCGGTTTAGGGTTGGGAAGTTCGAAGGGTTCTCTGGATGGTTCTATTCATTCTATTCGGGATTTCAACTGCTCTGCCAGGCTTTGTGTGGCTTCTGAAACTTACACCGAAAGGAGCCCAAGGAACTACTACATGTCTTAACTGCGTTCAGAATAGAAACCATCTTAAACTGAAGGCTTGCATTGGAGAACTAATTACAACACAATTTCAAGCCCCTGAGAATCCTCACTCGTAGACGAAAACCCTGCTGTAGAGTAGTTAGAATCTGCGCCCTAAACCCTGAGCTGATTTATCAAGGGTGCTAGAGATTTCGGGTCTGCTTTGTAGAAGCTGGGGGTGCCTAGGGTTCTTGTGTGGTTTGTTGGAATTGCATCGAAAACTTGATTGACGTAGGAACCTCATTAAGAAAGTTTCGGTTTTTGTGGGGGTTCTAAATGGATACTACCAGTAGTATAATTCTGGTGGGAGCAGGGTTGCTTAATCAGTTCCCGACATTAGTCAACACCGCTAAGCCTTGGACAAAATCGTAAAACCATAAGATTCAAGAAAAAACATCTCCGCTAGTCAAAAAGTGAAAATCGCAACATGAAAAATCTTAGAAAATGACCTTCCAACTCAAATCTCCAACAGCCCTTCCACGAAAGAGCTGCCGTGAGACCCTCGGCTTCAGCTCAGGAGGATCACCGGCGCTCGGCGCTTCTTCCTTTGGGGCGCCTGTCGGGCGTTCCGCCACTGCTGGAAGGTCGGGATCGCCTGGAGGTTTGGGCGGTTCAGGGTTTTGGGGTTTGGGTTTGTTGGGGTTTTGGGCTTTGGGTTTAGGGTTTAGGGTTCAAGGTTTAGGGTATAATAGGGTTGAGGGTTTAGGGTTTATTTGGGGTTTTGGGTTTGGGGGGTTCGTTTCAGGGTTCCCTAAACCTAGGGCTCCAGTTACCTAAACAAGTTACAAAACAATGGAGTACTGGGTTATATTATATGCATAGTATGCTACTTTTAGGTAACCGGAGTTCTCGGGTAAACCATACCGGAACACACCACAAACTACTTGTTTGTAGGGTCCCTATAACTCATTCGGGCACATACTAAGAACCTGCAGCAACAAGTAGGTTATTATTTGAAGTTATTCCCTAAGGGGTTCAGCTCAGGGTTTGTGAGAGTGGAGGAGAAGAACAAAAGCTTTAGTAGGGAGTAAAAATATTCCTTAAAAATATTCCTTAAGGCTACTTGTTATAATTGTATATATGTATATACATATGTACACACACAATTATACGGTAAAGGAGCCCAAAACCCTATTCCAGTTATTAAGGCCCCTACATTACAGGGCCCAAGTCACATCGCCGCTGGTTTGCTCCACGGTATCCTGCGGGTCAGGGGGGCTGCGGGGCTGCAGACGGGGGATCCCTAAGATGTGCTTCTAAACCCTCGAAGCCGAAACGCAAGTACTAGAGAAGGTTTTGGGTTTCAGGGCTAAGTTAGAAGTTAGACTAGGTTTTGGGGCACATCACACTATGGTTCTAGTACGGAGGCCAAGCGTCAGCCCTCACAAGGAGATACCGAACGAAGGTGTCATTATACCGAGTGGCAGATACACGCTGAATCATTCACCGCATATCCCTAAACGTAAACCCCAAATCAGATCCGGCACTTTTGTTCTTTGCTCGGACATGTATTAGGAATCTCCATTTAAAGGGCTCGGTTTGTCACCGTGTACTCCAAAAGGGCAACCCCATGCAATGCCCCAACCCTAAATGCTAGACCCTAGACCCTAAACCTAAAGCATGGTAAGTTCTAAACCCTAAATCCTAAACCAACCCGAAACCCCAAACCGAGCTTTCACCCTAAACCCTAAACCGACCTTACACTCTAACCCTAAACCGACCTTACACCCTAAACCCAAGCCGATCTTACGCCCTAAGCCCTAAACCCTTCCCCAATCGGCTCCTCGTCGGAGGAGCCTTCCGAACCCATCTCTGAGGGCCCAGGCGTGGAGGGCTGCTTTGCATCCTCGGCTCTTGTCAAGGAGCTTGAATTTGGGTTTAGGGTTTAGGGCTTAGCTTGAATTCGGGATACCGTACTAAGAAACCATATTGTTCATCATAAGATACGAGTCGAAGTCACCAAAATAGGGATCTAAATTGTGTATAGTACATCATCTGGTGTCATTAACGAAAACCCCATTATGTACTACAGATAACCCTGCGCCCTACACCCTAAACATTACGGAACGTCAGCTCCAAAAAGCCACAGCTAAGGATCGGCCGGCGTCCAGGGAATGAGCCTGTTGGGATCCAGCCTGGGCTCTTGTGGACACGTTTCGGGCTTTAGGACCGGGGTTAGGCTTTAGGGTTTAGGGCTTTTTAGGGTTTAGGGTTTAGAGTTTTTTTGGGTTTAGGGTTTAGAGTTTTTTAGGGTTTAGGGTTTAGGGTTTTTTAGGGTTCGGGTTGAGGGGGTGCTACAGGGACACTTATCGTTTTGCGTAACCCGAAAGTCAGGACCTTATCCGAAGATCTGTGTATAGCTGCAGTACGGTTCTTGCATACAAGGAGCTGATATACCAGAAAGACTTGTATACGAGTTTCATTGTGCTCCATACGGCTTGTCGGACTTAATGGCACGTCAAGAAGAAACGACAATCTTGAGGCAACCCATCAGCTCCTTAACCCTGATTCCTAAGCCCTAAACCTTCCCTGTGATGACACTGCAACGGAAACGGCCCTAAACCTAAACCTTAAACCCTAAACCTTAAACCCTAAACCTTAAACCCTAAACCCTAAACCCTAAACGGTCCTTAAGGAGAGCCCAGCAACATCATCTCCAAGGGCGTGCCCTCGCCGACCAGAAGCCGGGATGGCTGCGCTGTGGGTGAGAGCACATCCTGGGCTTTGAAGCCAAGGGTAAGAAGGAGTGCAAGCTGCTGCGATTTCATACTGAACCAGGAAGAGATACCCAAACAAATTAAGCTTGAAGGAACAGATACCAAAAATATTTAGTTGTTTAGTTTTTACAACAGTATGGCACTCCAGAACCCAGCATCTGTCTCGGAAGGCACGGAGAGGAGGCTCGGGCTCGGAACCGGCAAAGGCGAGCCCAAGGAGAGCGAAAGCTCCGAGCCCTGCAGGGCCCTGGGCAGCCGGCGCCGGGGCGGCAGCGCCGGTGCCGGCATGGAGGCACTGGGAACCGCCAGGGCCGGGGTCGGTGAGGCGATGGGCGACTCCGAAACCACGGAGAGCGGCGTCTCTGCTCTCAGCACCTGCCGCGCCTCGCGCCGCGCCTCGCGGCGCGCCTGCAGGGGAAACAGCGGCCGAAATCGCCGTAGGTCGCTCGGCCAGGAGAGTCCCAGCAGAGGCGTCTCGTCGCCACGGTTCAATGCCTCCAAGTCCGGAGTCTCCGTGCCCGAAGGCACGGATGCCTGGGTTCTTGTTAAGGCACTTGGTTTGAGTTGCCACGACAGGGATCTTGAGCTAGGTTGATTAAATGTAAATCAAAAGGTTTCCTTATAAGGGCAACTTGAATTATTAAATTCCTTAAAATAAGGCTTCCTTATAAGGGTAACTTAAGTTCCTTAACAAGAACCCAGATGCAGGCGTCTCGAGGTTCACCAGCTCAGTTTCGGAAACACCCGCTGCTACCAGCATCCTCTGACATGGGGAGTTCACAGGCCACCATGCTCCCTGCTCTTCAGAAATTATACCCTCAACTTAGGCGGCTGATGCTATAGATAGCATAAACCCTCCGAAAAAGCTTCAAGTCTAGTAAACTCAACTACCGTGTCCTCAGATACTCCGCGGGGGACAGCTCCGCCTCCACCTCCGTCGGCTCCTCTTCACCTCGGGCTCTTGCGAAACTAAGAACCTACTTGTCCGGTTTAGGGTTTAGGGTTCAGGGGAACTCAGGGTTAACTGTTGGGGTTATTTAGGGATTATCGTACCCCGAAAAGGGTTAAAGGTTACCTGCTCTAGTACTGGACTATGAGAGGCTTCAGGTTTAGACGGTTTATGGACTAGCGTTTAGGGTTTAGGATG